TTAAGATTATATTGCTCATATGACAACGTGCATGCGTGTGCATGTGTAGCTGCTTGTACTAGCCGAGATTGAAGCTAGTTTTATAGTGCTAGCTCACTGAGATACCATGCCGGTATCTCAGTGAGATATGCTCTAACCACTACACCACAGAGACAGTTCAGAGCTGGGTGAACAAAGGCGACATGTGGTACAAGTGCTTCATTGGAGGCAGGACCGAAGTACCAGAAACTCTCAGGTGTCAAGCTGCCAACATATTCACTCATCCAAGGACTCTCCACGATGAACATTTCTTAACTCTTTGCACAGAACCACACACCACCACACATAGTAAACAGATTCTATCATTCCTGACAGTTACCATATAACACCCCTGCACCCTATTAAAAATAGCTGCACCACCAACATAGTTACTGAATTAAAAGTCAACAGCTGTAATTAGCAATCTTGGCTACACACAATTATTTGAAGGACTTATCATATATTCCCTGGCCCTATTTAGTGAAACTGATTAGATAAGACTACATAAACATACTGTATGTTAGAAGGCTGCATAAGACCAGTCCGGAGGGACAGGCCACTTGCTACTCATACACAAGTAATTTACAATATCGTATATCACATTAAGTTTTCCATTTTCTTTGACCACTTTGAGTCTCCACCTTGGTTGATGATACAACTTACAAATGATTACACAATGCCATTTAGACGTGGTCAAATGTAACATGTGTTATATTTGGGATTACACTTTCTTAGTAAAGTACAAATTCTAGTACTTTTTGAGTTGAGCCCCATCCGGGATTCGAACTCACACCCTCAGAGTCAGGCACCTAATTGCCAGCACACAAAGTCAGCCAAAGAAAGAGTTCCAACTGAATTGTTCATAAAAATTGTAAAGAGAGAATGGAGATAAACCTACCATGTCTTAAAATTAGAGGTAGTAAATGGAATTATAATAGCTCTAAATCTAAATTAAATCTCCTAAACATACTGAATAAGAATACTAATGAATTTCGTATACCAAATATTTAATGATATGTAAAGAATTTGTTACAATCTGGGCATATCAGGAAACCACTTAATCTTGTTAATGTCTCCATAAGTTATTGGTATTACGTTTTATCTAACTTGACATCAATGCTAATGAAACAATCTATCCCCACAAGCGTGACAATTTGGCAAGCCTGAGACACTACAAATAATCCTGAAGGACTGTACATATACATTAGTAGCCACCAGCACTGGTCTGAGTAACATCAGAACAATTCAAACATCACAGACTGGCTTGTCTAGAATGCATTAAGAAGAAGGAAATATTTGGATTTCACTTGTCTTTTGAATACTGACTAATACGGTACAAACTCAATATGTAGAATCAGAGAGTCACAAAACCATGGCACATGTTGTATGGAAACTATTGCTGTTTGTGTAATATTATTTGATGATGACTCATTCAGATGAGTGACCTGAGGTGCGGTGGGGTAGCCTAGTGGTTCAAGCGTTCACTCATCATGCCGAAGGCCCAGGCTCGATTCCCAACATGGGCACAATGTGTAAAGCCCATTTCTGGTGTTATTGCTGGAATATGGCTAAGAGTGGCGAGAAACTCACTCAATCACTGACCTCAGCAAGCACTGGCTAGAACATGGTGTCTGCATTATAACTTTTATGTATATATGTATAATCACACACCTGAATAATTATGCATTTGCATGTCATTGTCATAAACTGTGCATTATTGATAACGTTTTTCTATGTGGATTGGTACTGACCATGCTTATTAAACAAATCAGGTTGTAAAATAGTATCCATAGCTGCAGATTGCTCATTTGTTGCAGGGAATGGATCACCAGAACAGGACATATTTACCAATATTGCGGATGTGTTGCAGGGGATGGATCACCCGAGCAGGGTATATTTACCAATATTGCAGATGTGTTGCAGGGGATGGATCACAATAGTAGGGTATATTTACCAATATTGCAGATGTGTTGCAGGGGATGGATCTCCCGAGCAGGGTATATTTACCAATATTGCAGATGTGTTGCAGGGGATGGATCACCCGAGCAGGGTATATTTACCAATATTGCAGATGTGTTGCAGGGGATGGATCACCAGAGCAGGGTATATTTACCAATATTGCAGATGTGTTGCAGGGGATGGATCACCCGAGCAGGGTATATTTACCAATATTGCAGATGTGTTGCAGGGGATGGATCATCCGAGCAGGGTATATTTACCAATATTGCAGATGTGTTGCAGGGGATGGATCACCCGAGCAGGGTATATTTACCAATATTGCAGATGTGTTGCAGGGGATGGATCACAATAGTAGGGTATATTTACCAATATTGCAGATGTGTTGCAGGGGATGGATCACAATAGTAGGGTGTATTTACCAATATTGCAGATATGAAGAAGGGAATGAATCACCAGAGTAGGGTATATTACAAGTTGTATGCTTCTCTCTACGGTCTGATGTACGCCTCTTGTAGCAGTTTTACAAAGTTTGAAAACACTGCTACAAAGAGGCGTACATCAGACCGTATTACCCGAGGGAGAAGCATACAACATCTTTATCTTATCGCCATGTTAAACGTAGAAAATATTATTTATTTCATTTGGAAGATCGCTAACTACTATATCATGTATCATGTATATGGCATGTAAACAAAATGGCATCTGCCTCTCGACTGGATTTTTAAATCAGTGAAACATATTCTGACATGCTTAAAACTGCTATAAAAATGGTTAATTATGTTTAAGTTGAATGTGCAAACGATTCAATGTATAAAACAGTTTAAATAAAGCAGTGAAAGTCGGCGAAATAAATGTCTACAAAGTGAACTCAAAAACAGCTAATCAAACAGTTTTCGAACTCCGGGCACTGCATGCATCATATTATGATGTCATATGATTGTTAGCGATACATTTTCTCGGCGTAATATTTTTTTCTAGTTGTCACCCTCCTGGGAGGGGTGACACGGAAACTTGTTAAAGTGTCATTGACCAATGAAATTAAAGTATTTTACATGAATAGCAGGGAATGAGTGATCAGAGCAGGGTATATGAACCATTGTCTTACCTTCATGTAAAATACTTTAAATTCATTGGTCAATGACGCTTTAATAAGTTTGCGTATCACCCCTCCCAGGAGGGTGACAACTGAACAAATATTCTGATACCTTTCGGTATGGACTTACCGAAACAAATCATCAAAAATGCAAATTCAACTTATAAAGTTGAAAAATAACGCGATGAAAAAAACGCGTGAAATCGGAGTTCAAACGATTCACTAATTTTCCCCCGCCTTTTCGGGGGAAAACTGGTTTCAACAGCTGGGCTGCGCTCATAGCACGTGCGCAGTGAAATAGGTTCGCGCAACTTGGAAGCGGGCTGTCCAGTGAATACTCGGTGAAGGCTTTGGTGTGAGCTATTTTCCTAATGCTTTGTGAATATCTCACAGGCACGAGCTTTTTATATGTTATGACAGTAAATAAACTGTTTATATAATTTCATTTGTCTATTTCACCACACGTTCTTCTTACCGAGTCACTTTCTCAGTTGGATACTTAAAAGCAATGTCATTATTTAGCGTTGACAGAATTTCTAACTGTGATATAGATATGTCGTTGTCACAGACAAAACTCAATGTCTTGTTTTATTGACACCTGTGTGTGTATCTGCCTGCCTGTCTGCTAATGACAATATTCAATACACAACTGCGATCACTGACCACATGCAATTTGAACTTAACACCAATCAGGCTATACACCATAAACAAAACGCATTGATTTATGGCCCGAGTTCGATCTCTGTCACATTATGTAATTACACAGACAGGCAGGTGTGATACTTGAACACATGACATGTTATGATGTCTGTTGATTGCAAAATGTTATACACAAAAATGAGCATGTATTTACAAAACCCAACATCTCTATATATACACACACAATGAGCCGTGAGGGCATCTGCAAATGAACCAGCCATTACACTTGAGTGCACACCCACCCGCTCTGACCGGGTTCGGTATCCCGGCTGCTTCGTTTCTTGGGAAGTAAACCCAAGTACACAATATTGCACTTTTGATTTGCGATTGTACGCTTATAATTTTGTTTATATGTTTTTTCATAACCAGCAATGTATATTATATGTCATGAATAAGTGATAATTGTGTTTTAATTATGTTTGATTTTTTGGTTGCATGTGACCTTTAAGTTATTTTATACATTGAGTGGTTTGCACATTCAACTTAAACATAATTAACCATTTTTATAGCAGTTGTAAGCTTGTCAGAATATGTTTCACTGATTTTAAAAATCCAGTCGAGAGGCAGACACCATTGTTTTTACATGTCATATAGTCGGTCGCGATCTTTAACATAAAATAAAATGAAGTTTTGTACATTTAACATGGCAGTACGATAAATACGTTGCATGCTACTCCCTCGGGTAATATGGTCTGATGTACGCCTCTTTGTAGCAGTGTCATCCCTCGCCTACCAGCTCGGGTGACACTGCTACAAAGAGGCGTACATCAGACCGTATTACCCTCGAGAGAAGCATACAACTTATAATATTGCTTAAAATGTGGCAGGGGAAGGTGCACATAGGCAGGGTATATTATCCAATATTGTGGATATGCTGTGGTAGAGGATGTGTGGTCAAGTTGACTGTAAACTCAATATAACTCTATGTAGATTCAGACACAAACATTTTGCCACCTTGCTGCAAACTTGACATGTATTCCTCGTTTCGGTTTTTCCACTGTGGTGATTCATATGTAATACGCCTGTCAAGTTGTTGGGTAGTACACAAGGTACCCAGGTTGTGTGTTGGGTACTGCTGTAATAGGCGGACACTGTGTAAAAAGAACGTGAAGGCTGTCTAACCACAAGGAACTATGGTTACATTAGAATCTACCTTCACACGCATTCAGTGCTTAGCACTAAAATACTCTCGGCCCCCATACTCTGTATCTACGTGTATGAGTCAACTCACCGATGACGGTATGATTTGTTGAGATTTTTCTCGCAATCGCTTTTTCCTTTTCTGTGCAGATTTACTTCGACCAGTTTCAGTAGCTTTGGCAAAGATTTTTCCCGCTTCCAATTTTGCGTTTGTCTCTGCCTCATCGCTACTGACCGAAACGACCTCGAAGTCACTACTGTCTGAACACGAGACAATGATAATTTCCTCCCCATCCATGTGCTTATTTCATATGTCCCACACTGATCACACCACCGCAAATACATGCTACAATGTTTTCTTCTCCAGCCTTGTGACCGTCGCCATTTTCTAAGTAAGGGGATTTCCCAAACAGGAGCCTCGTTTTGAAATTTGACCCTAAACTCTTCTTCCGGTCCGATCCATGAGAAAGGACATGTTTGTGGTGTGTGTATACATGAAATACAGCGTATATTTACAGTTGAATGCATCATTTTGTCCCAAACATATATATGCGAATACTAGTTGAGTGATACAAGCGACGGGGAGTCATTCTGGTTTTCGTCTGAGACGAATACCATCTGCAGAACAATAAAAACGGGAAGAATTGTTCGTGTCAATAGATTAACTTTGATTACATGGACGATCGTTCTCGTATGTTCCGATAAACCCATCGGTAAAAGCCCATGCAGCATAAAGAAGCAAGCACAAGAGGGAAACTGGTTCGCAAATCCCTGAAACGGGCGTTCAGCACTGGTCAAGTTGATAGAAGCGTCAATACATTCATGTGCGCTCGATGCCACCCACAGAAGCTAAAGATTTGTTCTGCACAACATTTGATACGTACACAAGCAAATCGCATTGCACACAACATCTGCTACTGGCTGGTATTTCTGTTCCGAGCATGTTTATATAAGTTCAAGCAACCCAATTCTTTCACATGGTCAATTTTCCCATTCACTATAACTCGCTCGTCCATGCTTATACGAAATATAAAACCCGGATGCTTTGTTTACTGAATCTACACAGGCAATTGTCCCACTGTTTGAACTGGATATATGGATCAGGGTTCTTAAACGGGACATATAACGTACTCACCCAATGGCGCAATGTCGTAAATAATACAGTGTAAGCATGTTCAAATATCTAGAGTGGTGAGATCTTGAAACAATAATCACTTTGGTTGTCGATCCGTCAGAGTGTCCCTTTGAAATCTCGACGCCAACCCGGAAATAAAATACATACGACAAATGTTGCACATCATCCTACGAATTCTCGACAGGAAAGGACACTGAGCTGTTGTCGGACCTGTTGTCTAACAAAGCTTCTTGTTTACTAAACGATTTTACCATGCAAATTAACAAACACTTATCACAATAATAAAGCCATTTACGATGTATTGATTGCGTGTTTATTCATTTCGATGAAACTTCCACGGGAGCAGATCGATCAGCCAGTATATGTGTAACGCTGTCATTGGTAGATAATCACGCCTCAAGTCACCAAGGGTTGTTCGGTGTGACAGCTGGTTACTTCACATTGGTCGGGGGCTTTAGCTCACCTAGTCTATAGCTCTTTGTGGTTGTTATGTTATTCTCCTGAATCACATAGATATCGATGGCAGCACATACAAATATGAATAACACCAAATCAAATGATAATTCATCAATAACATACTGAGATTTTTCTTTGGAAAGAGGACTGGAAAATATGTGCTACAAATTTGTCACACTATATATAGTAACAAAACATTGAACACAGACGGTGTTCGTTTTTAACATTGTTGCATCTAGCCGTATCAGAGGAAGGCCGGTTTTAGAGGTTCCTACTGTACTCAGTCAAAAACAGACGTTATGATTACACAATGCCATTTAGAAAGTGGTCAAATGTAACATATGTTATATTTGGGATTACACTTTCTCAGTAAAGAACAGATTCTAGTACTTGTTTTGGCTTGAGTGACGTTGAGTCCCATCCGAGATTCGAACCCACAACCTGAGAGTCAGGCACCTAATCACCAGCAAAACGAAACTCAAACCAACAATAGTACTAGAATCTGTAATTTACAAAGAAAGTGTAATCGCAAAATTGACATATGTTACAAATACAGACGTTTATAGTAATGTTTAACAGTAACCGTTATTAGGAGATATACCTCTCGGAACCGGGGTCCTGTCTCCGAACTATTTCTGGTAGACAGTGGTGCCCGATACCCCGTCAGATGTGTGTTTTGCTGCATTAAGTGTAAATAGTTATGAACGAACAACTCGAGTCATTTGCATAAAATGGAAGAGTGGGCAGAGATTCTCTAGGTAACTAAATTCTGCATTGAAAACACAATACGCATATCCCAATGGGACAAGGACAGGCCGATGCAAAATGGGAATTCTGGAAAACCAAATATGATTATAACCTGTACATTGTAAAATGTATGGAATACAAGTTACATAGAGACGTTAGGTTGTGGCTGGGAACAATGCTTCTCGATCAGATCGTACATCATACACGATGTGTGAATTTGGAATGCAACAATTTACGGCAAAATAATACTATTTTAAGGCTGACAAAAAATTGGACTTAGGCCACCATAAAATCAGGGTAGACTGGTCAACTCTGGATACGTACTTACGAATATACTGGATGCTTGTCTGATCGAAAACATTCAAACAATACATTATTTTCGAAACCTCAGAACTCTATACACAACAGCAGAGAGTCCCAAATGAAATCAATGGTATAGACATTAATGATATACTTATATACACTGAATGCAGACAGGCGTCCAGTCATACTCAGGATCAACAATGTCGATGAACTTGCGGATAGATGTACCGAACGGGCCTATTAGGCAAGTCATATACATCTGAACAACAGAAGAGTACTATCCATTTTCAGCAGTTTTCACGACCTTTTCTCCCTGTACCGCATACTTTCACTTTTGAGTCACAGGAGGATGTAGTTAGAATGGGTTCAATGTGGGTTACAGCACCATTCATATATGTTCCATAAACGCCCTTAACACCCATCATTAAGATGCTTCTGTTCATTGAAAACAAGGTCCGCAACAACTCTTAGTGGCATTGTGTTCAAGTCCGGAAATGATTTGTGACGCAGAACGCTCAAAAACAGCTACCACCCCCATAACACCTCACTGGGCATAGATGAAGTGCGTCATCACGTCTGCAGTATATGTCTCTGGTAAATATGTAGTGAGTTGATATTTTCCAAATCTAAAAAGTAATTGCAGTCAAAAGTCCATCCAGTTTTTTAGCTTTCAATAATCCGTTCAGGTACATGTATTGTGTTTGGGACCACGGATACATTGCCAGAGACGTAATAAAAGAGACCAATATAATAAAGTGACCGACTACTAAACTATGTGTAATGATTCCATTACACAAGGAAGTGTGATGCAATCATATTTGCAATTTCAATCCTTTTGCCAAATGCATGTCGAATGGCATGTCCAAATCTCTAAGCCTAACCTCTACCAGCTGACATACAGCCTAACCTCTACCAGCTGACATACAGCCTAGCCGCTACCAGCTGACATACAGCCTAGCCTCTACCAGCTGACATACAGCCTAGCCTCTACCAGCTGACATACAGCCTAGCCTCTACCAGCTGACATACAGCCTAACCTCTACCAGCTGACATACAGCCTAACCTCTACCAGCTGACATACAGCCTAACCTCTACCAGCTGACATACAGCCTAACCTCTACCAGCTGACATACAGCCTAACCTCTACCAGCTGACATACAGCCTAACCTCTACCAGCTGACATACAGCCTAGCCTCTACCAGCTGACATGCAGCCTAGCCTCTACCAGCTGACATACAGCCTAGCCTCTACCAGCTGACATACAGCCTAGCCTCTACCAGCTGACATACAGCCTAACCTCTACCAGCTGACATACAGCCTAGCCTCTACCAGCTGACATACAGCCTAGCCTCTACCAGCTGACATACAGCCTAACCTCTACCAGCTGACATACAGCCTACATACCTCTACCAGCTGACATACAGCCTAACCTCTACCAGCTGACATACAGCCTAACCTCTACCAGCTGACATACAGCCTAACCTCTACCAGCTGACATACAGCCTAACCTCTACCAGCTGACATACAGCCTAACCTCTACCAGCTGACATACAGCCTAGCCTCTACCAGCTGACATACAGCCTAACCTCTACCAGCTGACATACAGCCTAACCTCTACCAGCTGACATACAGCCTAACCTCTACCAGCTGACATACAGCCTAGCCTCGGACACCACTAAAACGTAGAGGCTGCATATGAGATAACGTCGTTTTAAACATTATTCCAGGTAGATCACTGCGTGTCACCGTTATCTGTGTGTGTGTAGGGGGGAGGGGGGGAGGTGAAGCTATGAGGCACTACATGCATCCGCTTTACAAGACGTGACATTGTTTTTGAGACTGTTCTATCCAGAGCTAGATACAGTAGTACGCCCTCTTGTCGCCCAGCTTGTGTTTATTTAGATCAGCACAATAGTACAGCATGCATGTATTAATCACTAATTTGTTAAACATGGTTTACCCCGACATTTAGTCTTTGAAGTACCAGAGACCATATATCCATATCTGTATATGGTCAACGGTTTACCGATATCGGTATATGGTCTCTGGAACTACTTTGATAATGTATGTCCACAAATCGCGATCGGCACTACATCGAATGACTCTGTCACCCTTTGACCCCTCAATTTGGTGTTACCCCAGTCACAATATACCTGTGTCACCTGGAATCTGGACTTATGAAAGATAATGCTGTAATCGCCAGTTAAAATGTGTCGGCGGAGATAAACAATCGGCTCACGCGGAAGCGGAAACACGTGGAGTTTTCTACGTGTGTCTCAGAGAGCAGACGACACACATGTCAGTGTGTTCAGACAGCGATGAATTCGTCTGTAATGCGTTATATTAATGCTTGAGTGGTTCATGTCACTGAGATGAGTTCGCGATTCGAAACCATGCCACACTGTATAGAGATATAGACACATAAAGCGAAAAATGTCCGTCCGTTTGTGTATATACGTCCTGATTAGGCTACATACGTTTCGAGCTGGATGCACGCTGATACAATAAACACGTTGATGACAACCAGCAAGGATGGTCATGCGTCAAGTTGGCGTCTATACGTTGTAATAAACATGCAATAGAGTATTCGGAATGCTGTAAACTTTACAAGAAACAGGACTATTTCCCGGAGATAGAGTACACCATACTGACCAGTACAGTTTCACTGGAGTTGGGTAGTGGAGCACCCGTCCCTCTGCCTGCAAACATTGGTCGAAACATATACTCTACTTAAACATCCATAC